GTCAGAATTCTACCGAACACCGTGTGTTTGCAAGCATTTCAACATAAAAACATCAAAAACCCAATGCTTTGTTCACAAAAATGCTTTGGGGTGTCCTGTCAGACCGTCGGGCTTCCTCCGGCCACCTCTGGCTTCCTGCGGTGTACCGGGCCATTCTCGACTCGTCTGGCAATGCGTGCGCGGCATTCAACACGCGCTCGCCAGTTCCCGTCGGCAACCGCCATCGCGGCCGCACCAGCTGTACCAAACCGGCTGGCCGGTGTGACTTCGGCCCCCAGTTGTGCCAGCTTTGCTTCTTATGTTGTGGGAGGGCGGGTGGGGCTGGGCATGCCTTTGCCGCACTCGAGCTGTGCTAGCTTGACACCTATACTTTACTCCCCTTCGCGCATGAGTTTTTTTGTGGTGTTTATACTTATAAAAAATTCAACACTCTAATCCTATTCCTTATTAGAATATACTCCTACTCCCCCTCAGGCCGGCCGATAGGGGCCGCATCCGGGTGGTCCCATCCTAACCTGTAAAAAACAATACAAAATCAACATGTTTCTTATTTTTTCCTTTCGACATGGACGTCCTGTCGTCCACGGCGATAATCCATTGCAAAAAATACCACAAAGAGCACACGCGCGCGTTCATGTCAGAATCCTACCGAACACAATGTGTTTGCAAGCATTTCAACATAAAAGCATCAAAAAACCCTTCGTTTTTTCACCCCAAGCCCCTCCACAACCTTTTTTTTTCCTCACCATATATTCCCCCTTCTACAAATTTCCCGCCCGGGCCCTCTTGCAGAAATCATAGGAAAACCATAGGAATCTTAAGAATTCTGTCAAATCCAGCGATTTCACGTCATCGCGCGGTGCACTCGCGATGCTCTGTCATGCACCCAGGCCGCGAATCCTGCACAAAAAATACCACAAAGAGCACACTCGCGCGTTCATGTCAGAATCCTACCGAACACCGTGTGTTTGCAAGCATTTCAACATAAAAACATCAAAAACCAAATGCTTTTTCACAAAAATGCTGTGGGGTGTCCTGTCAGACCGTCGGGCTTCCTCCGGCCACCTCTGGCTTCCTGCGGTGTACAAGGCCATTCTCGACTCGTCTGGCAATGCGTGCGCGGCATTCATCACGCGCTCGCCAGTTCCCGTCGGCAACCGCCATCGCGGCCGCATCAGCTGTACCAAACCGGCTGGCCGGTGTGACTTCGGCCCCCAGTTGTGCCTGCTTTGCTTCTTATGTTGTGGGAGGGCGGGTGGGACTGGGCATGCCATGCTTGACTCGCTCGAGCTGGCTAGCTTGACTCCCACTCCTACTCCTACTCCTCCTCCTGTTCCTGTTCCTCCTCCTCCTCCTCCTCCCCCTACTCCTCCCTCCCTCCCTCCCTCGCTCCCGCCCCCCTCCCCCCTCCCTCCCTTCCTTCCCCACCTCCCTCCCCCTCCCCCCCCCCCCCTCGCTTCGACCCCCCTCCCTCCCTCCCCTCCCTCCCTCCCTGCCTGCTGCTCCTCTCCTCCTACTCCTCCTTCCTCCTCCTCCTCTCATCCCTCCTCCTCCTCCTCATCATCATATATCATCATCTCATCCTATCATCATCATCCATCATCATCATCATCATATGCATCTCATCTATCATCATCAGCTATCATCATCATCAGCATCAGCATCAGCTCAAGATGACTCATCACATCGGAGCATATCATCATCCAGAGCATCATCACATCACCATCACCATCACCACCACCACCACCACCACCACCACCACCATCATCATCATCATCATCATCATCATCATCATCATCATCATCATCATCATCATCATCATCATCATCGTCCTCTTCGTTTTCCTCCATTATTTTTATTAGCGCGCCATGAGGCCAGTCGGGAGGGCGGGCCAGGCGTTTCGCCTGAGACTTCCTCACCATTTACGACGATGATAGCTTCACAGATAGAGTGCGGGTGGTTTTCAGAATGTGGCTCTCGCCTTAGCCCCGCGCAGATTCGTTAACAAATGCAAGGATTTCACGGATTGACGACGGGTGATGTTCAAAGTTGTGGCTCTCGCCTTGGCGCCGCGCAAGTTCGTTATGACAAACTGCAAGAGCTTCACGGATTGAAGACTGCTCTTTTTCAAAATGTAGCTCTCGCCTTCGCGCCGCGTACACTCGTCCTAAACATGCGCAAGGGATTCACGGATTCCCATGGTTAGCTTACCAGGAACGGTGTTTTGGAGCGATTCTGGATTGTCAGGGCGCGACGGCTACGCTGATTCGCGGAGTTGAAGCCCCAGGAAAGGCATTCTGGCACGATTCAGGATCGTCAAGACGCAACAGTCAAGTTGATTCGTGGCGTTGAAATCCAGAGAATGGTATTTGGGCACGCTTCAGGATCCTCAAACGGTTATCTTCCATTGGGGCACCTCCCTGTGGGAAATGAAACCTAGTGCCTAGTGGAGGCCTACGAAGAGGGAGCTTGGAGGGAGGGTTTATTCCAACATCGTTGAGACTCTTGGGTTTACACTTGTCCTCCTCCTCCTACTCCTCTTCCTCCTCCTCCTCCTGGGCACAACCTGGGGGCGAACAGCGCCTGTTCACCACCAGCCGAAAATGCATGGCCGGAGGCGCACCTTGCAACCGCCTTCGGCCAAGCAGTGCGGACACAGCTCAACAGACCAGAGGGTGGGAAAGTATGCCTCGTGGGCAGGGAGCCTGACCTGCGGCTGGACCCGAGACACCTTCGCATCGATCATACATTCTCCTTTGGCGAGTCTCCCCAAAAACCTTCCGAGACGATTCCGGGACGACATCGGGGCACGGCCTCGCAAGGCCAGAGACACGCGAGACGGCAAAGCACGCAAACCGCGCGCAGCAAACCACAAGCGGACCACTGCGAAGTTCGATTGTGAACAGGGCATGCAATCTGGATCCAGCGCTCACCTTGTGCTGTGCAGCACGAACCCGACTGACAAGACCTGAGGACACAGGATCACGAACGAGAATGAGCTGGGGAACGGGGGGCTTGCCACGCGGGTGCCTTTTGGTATGCCCGCACTCAGACAGCCCCATCGCACAAACGCCCCACCCAAGAGCCCCAGCTTTGCAAAAATTGGCGTATCGCTTTCAACTGCTGAACAGAGCTGAAGGCGCTGCGCGAACATTCGGCGGCTCCTTTCGCCGCCTCGCCTACCTTCAGGTTGCCAAAGCGGTGACGAGCCGACGTGGGCCTTGCAGCACATCGTCGAGGGCCGCATGGCCCTTTCCCTCAAAGGGTTCGAAGCCTCCCCCCCAGTCGTCCCACCCCCGCCACAACGTCCTCCAAAGGTGCGCGCGAGAGGCGGCACAGGCGGTGGTAGCTTCTCGACCCTCTCGAGAGAGAGCCGTGATAAGCGTACTGCGAGTCAGTGCAGACACGGACAGGCGGAAGCGCGAAGTGCAAACGATGAACGACGGCGATCCGCTCGGTGGCACTGGTACACTGCAGAGGGTCGAGCACGGGGCCAGAGGCAGTGGACACCACTCGCTCGAGCTGCGGGTGCAAGGCCACGCACGCCCACCCAGCACAGGCCAGGCTAGGATACCCTGCCTCGAAGGTCGATCCATCTGCGCAGATGTCTCCTGTGAACTCGGTGGGGCCGCCTTGCCCCCAAACAACTGGAGGGCCTGGAGGCGGCCTCTGAAACTCAGGACAGGGAGCGAGGCAACGCTCTGCAAAAATGAGCGCGCGACGACGCCGCGGCTGCTGCAGCACTGGCACGAAACGGGGGCTGATCTGCCAGCTCCTCGAGCCTTGAGCACGCACAGTGCCGGTGCGGAAGCGTACCTTCCCATGCAGGGCACAGCAGGCGAACAGGAAACAGCTTCCCACTGGCGCTTCTGGCGCCGCTGGCCCCCGACGATGATACTCCACTCCTCCTCCTCCTCCTCCTCCTCCTCCTCCTCCTCCTCCTCCTCCTCCTCCTCCTCCTCCAATCCACCAATCCTCTTCCTTTGTACTCTTTCCTGTCGCACACCGAGGCCAGTCGAAAGGGCGGGCCAGGCGTTTCGCCTGAGACTTGCTCAACACTAATGATCCTGAAGGTTAAAAACTGGCACCAGTTTCACAAATGGAGGGCGGGTGGTTTTCAAAATATGGTTCTAGCCTCAGCGCCGCGCAAATTCGATACAAAAAACGTGTAAGAGCTTCACGGATTGATGAGGGCGGTTTTTGTAATGCGGCTCTCGCCCTCGCGTAGCACACATTCGTTTTAAACAAATGCAACAGAGTTTCTCGCATTGGCGGGTTGGTATAAAGTGTGGCTCTCGCCTTAGGGCCGCGCGCACTCGTCTTCAAAATCTACCAAAGTTTCACAAATTGAAGGCGCTTCCTTTTCAAAATTTGGCTCTTGCTTTAGCGCCGCGCACGTTCGCCTTGAAGAAATGCGAGCGTTTCACAACTCCCCATGGTCAACGTACATACCAGAGATTACCAGGGGGCAGCAGTAACAGTGAGTCGCGGCGTCGAGGTCCCAGGAACGGCGTTCTGGCACGATTAAGGACGCAACAGTCATGTTGATTGGTGGCGTTGAAGTCCGGAGAATGGTGCTTTGCACGCTTCAGGATCTTCAAACGATGGTCTCCCAATGGGCCACTTCCCTTAGTGAAAATGAACCCTTGTCGGGGCCTATGCAGAAGGAGCCCGGAGGAAAGGATATGTTCAACATCGTTGGTGAATCTTGGAAATACACTGGTCCTCCTCCTCATCATCCTTCTCCGCCTCTTTTTCCTCCTCTTCCTCCTCCTCCTCCTCCACCTCCTCCGCCTCCTCCTCCTCCTCCTCTTCCTCCTCCTCCTCCTCCTCCGCCTCCTCCGCCTCCTCCTCCTCCTCCTCCTCCTCCTCCTCCTCCTCCTCCTCCTCCCCCTCCTCCTCCTATTCCTCCTCCCCGCTCCCTTCTCCCCGTTCACTCCTCCCTGCTCTCTCCCCCCCGATCCCCCCTCCCTGGCTGCCCCGCGACCGGGCCATCCTGCCGCGTGCACTCCGGCGACTCTCCTGCCGCGGCCGATGCCGCCGACGCCGCCACCGCCGCCTGCCTCGCCGCCACCGTGGACCGCCGACGCCGAAGCCACCGCCGCCGCTCCCTGCCCCCCTCTTCCCCTCTTTCCTTCTTCCCCTCGACCCATCCTTCATGCCCTCCCTTCCTCTCCTCCTCCCCTCCTCCCTCCTCCTGCCCCGTCCCTCCACAATTACACAATATGAATATGATTCTCCTCTCGGTCCCCCTCCGCGCACTGTTTTTCACACAAGATTCTCGGTAAAGAGGTTTTCGCTTGGGTGTATGTTTCAAAATGTTGCTCCCGCTGAAACGCTGGCCTCATTTTCGGGCTTCCGCTCGTTCCGAATCGTGCTCCCGCTGAAACGCTGGCCTCATTTCTGGGCTTCCGCTCGTTCCGAATCGTGCTCACTCTGCAAGCTGGCCTCATTTCTGCGCTTCCGCTCGTCCCGCGTGCTCCCGCTGCAGCGCTGGCGTCATTATTTCCAGTACCATGCCACGGCATGGTTTTCGGTCCTTCCACTCCCGAAAAAAACCATCGGACGTGATTACACATTCGATATCAATCCATTAATTGTTTAGTCCGTAAAAGCCCCCCACACTTTGACTTTGGGGCGTCGCCACGCAAAGCTATGTCATGCTACGCGTCGACCTTCAACACCGTGCTATGCCATGTAATGGTATGCCATGCTACGACATCCGATTGTAGTAGAGAGGAGATATACGCCATGATAAGGGATGGGAGGAAAAGATAGCACGTCTGATATAACGCGAGCGCACCTAGAATGCCTCCCCTCCCCTCCCCTCCCTCCCCCTCCCCTCTGCCCCCCCTCCCCTCACATTGGCCTCCTCTGCCCCTCTTCCCCTCCCCTCCCTACCCCCTCCCCTCTCCTCCTCCCCTCCCTTCCCCTCTGCCCCGTCCTCTTTGCCCTCCACCCGGCGGCAGCGACGCCGAGAATGACGACGCGGAAAACGACGCCGACGCCGCCGCCACCGACGCGACGCCGACTCCGTCGCCGCCACCGCCGCCGACGCACCCCGATGCAGATACCGATGTCGACGCCGCCGCCGACGCTGACGCCGACGCCGGAGCCGACGCCGACGACGACGCCGACGCCAACACGGACGCCGACGCCGCCACAGCCGACGCCGACACGGACGCCGACGCCGCCGCCGCCGCCGCAGCCGCCGCCGACGACTACGACGACGACGACGTCGACAACGACGACGACGACGACAACGACGACGGCAACGGCGGCGACGACGACGACGACGATCACAACGACCACGACCACGACCACGACCACAACGGCGACGACGCGACGACAACGACGACGACAACAACGACGCCAACGACGGCGACGACGGCGACGACGACGGCGACGGCGCAGACGCCGAGGCAAACGCCGACGCCGACGCCGACGACGACGACGACGAAGAAGACGACGACGACCACGCCGGCGACGATGCCGACGACGACGACGACGACGACCACAATGCCGATGCCGCCGCCGCCGCCGACAACGACGGCAAAGACGACAAAGACGACAACGACGACGACGAAGACCAACACCACCACAACCACCACGACGACGAAGACGCCGACAACAACAACGACAACGACGGGGACGACGCCGACGCCGACGACGACCCCGACGCAGACGCCGACGCCGACGCCGACGCCGACGCGAACGCCGACGCCGCCGCCGCCGCCGCCGCCGCCGACGACGACGACTACGACGACGACGACGACGACGACGACGACGACGACGACGACGAACGCAACAACGACGCGACGACGACGACGACGACACGACGACGACGACGACGACGACGACGACGACGACGACGACGACGGCCACCACGACGACGACCACGACCACGACCACGGCCACGACCACGACCACGACAATGACCACGACAACGACCACGACAACAACCACGACCACAACCACGACCATGATGACCATGATCACGACCACGACCACGACCACGACCACGACCACGACGCCAGCGACGGCGGCCACGACGAACGCTATGACGCTGGCGAGCGGCGCTCCGTGGCACTCCGCGACGGTGACCAGGGAGCCCTCGCAGCCGTCGCCGCGGTCGGCCGGCTCGAGGACGCTGCGGGTTCGCCTTTTGAAGCCGGTGCCTGTGGGGGCGGCCGCTGCTGCGGCGACGACGCCGCTTCGCCACGCCGCCTCCTCCCCCTCCTGCTCCTCCGCCTCCTCCTCCTCCTCCTGCTCCTCCTCCTCCTCCTCCTCCTAGCCGTTTCCCCTCGGGCAGGGGTGCTGGGGTGCCGCGCGCGCGGTTTGAAGCGGCGCAGCGCGCGGGAGCTGATGGCAGGCGCCTGATGCTGCTGCGCCTGCTCCTGCCAACAGCGCTGCTGGAGTGCGACAGCGCGCAGGTGGCGCTGGCTGCTCTGGCGAGGCGCTTCACGGAGGAGATGGGCAACATCAGCGAGCTCGAGGTGAAGGTGGTGCAGGTCGGGCCTGAGGGCCCCAGTCACGCCGCCGAGGAGGAAGCGGGGCTGGGAGTCGGTCGTCGTGGCACCGCCCAAGGCGAGGCCGGCGGCCCGCCCGCCCCTCTTCCCCATCCTCACGGAGGTCATCCTGGCGCCGCCGCTGGGGGTACTGGGGGGAGGCGGAGACACCCGCGGAGGGGCGAAGGGGCATGCCGCAGGTCGTGCTCTCGCAGCAGGAGGCGCGGCAGAAGGAGGTGCGGGAGCTGGATGCGTACCACCACGGCCTGCCGAAGTCGGAGGAGCTGCCGAACCCAAAGAGCGTGGGGCGCTCGCGGACGCGGAGGAGGCGACGGGCACCTTCGTCAAGCTCGGCGTGCAGCAGGCGCAAGCAGAATAAGAAGAACAAGCATGATAATAAGGATAAGAAAACTAATAATAAGAATAAGAATAAGAGTAAGAATACTAGTTAATAATAATAATAAGAAGAAGAAGAAGAATAACAATAATAATAATAAGAAGAAGAAGAAGAAGAAGACGAAAAAGAAGAAGAAGAAGAAGAAGGACAAGCAGAGCAAGAAGAGCAAGAAGAACCAGCTGGAGTCGTTGCCGATCGCGAGGAGCCCAGGAGCAAAGAGGCCCTCGCGCGTTCCGTCGGCCCCGTGGGCGAGCTGAAGGCGGAGCACGACGCTGGCAAGAAGTGCGTGCAGTTCTACATCGGTGAGGATGAGGAGGATGGCAAAGGGCGTGCCGCTCATCCCCAGGCCGATGGAGGACAGGCTGATAGGAGCAAACGCCTGCTGGAGGCCTTCCGTGAGCTGGACGACGGCTCAGGCCTCATCAGCATCGAGAAGCTGCGCCACGTGCTGACCAACTTCGAGGTGAAGCTCGACCCCGAGCTGGTCGACGAGATGATTCACGAGTGCGGCACCATCATAGGCGGCCGGATCAACTACCTGGAGTTCTGCGATGCTGTCGGAGGCCTCACGGGCCACAGTGCGTCGGCAAGAAGAAGACGGTGCCTGGAGCCAGAGCGTCGGCAAGAAGAAGACGAGGAAGAACAAGAAGAAAAAAAAAAAGAATAAGAAGAACCATGCAGAGGTCTTGCCTGAGGATGCTGCTTCAGCTTTAGAGGACATCCAGGGTGAGGCATGGGCCATGATGAGTGACGTGGCAGAATTCGTCGGGTTCGAAAGCTGGCTGCGCCTCCACGCCAAGTCGACGGCCTAAGCAAGGTTGGCTTTGTCGGCATCTTCAGGGTGCTGGAAGCCGACTTCCAGGTCAGGGTGCTCGTCTTCGGGCCCCTCGTCACGATGGGCGGGGAGGACGGGCAATACTCTCAGAAGTGACGGGGGCTGGACGGGGCTCTCTCCCTCGGGCCGTCCATCTAGGCCTTGGGGGGGCCCTGTGGGCCTCCGTCGGGTGTTGGGCCTCTTTGGCCTGGCTGTTTTCGTGGGGCATTTTGGGCCTCGGCTGGCGCTGGGTGGACGGCTGGGTGATAGCCCCGCCTAGGCGCCGCGTTGCGGCCGTTGCGCCGAGAAAGCGGGATGACCCGTTTGACTTAGTTCAGTCTTCAGCATGAACCTCCTCCTCATCCTCAGCTCCTCTCCTCCTCTCCTCTTCTCCTCCTCCTCCTCCTCTCATCCTCTCATCCTCTCCTCCTCAACTCCTGCCCTCCTGTCCTCCGGTCCTTATGTCCTTCTCTCCTCATCTCCTCCTCTCCTCCTCTCCTCCCTGTAGTCCTCCCTCCTCCTCTCCTCCTCTCCTCCTCCTCCTCCTCCTCCTCTCCTTCCTCTACCTCCTCTCTACCTCTCTCCTCCCTCCTCCCTCCCTGCTCTCCTCTCTCCTCCTCCGCCTCCTCCCCTCCTCCTCTCCCCCTCCCCTCCTCTCCCCCTCTCCCTCCTCTGCTCCTCTCCTCCTCTCCTCCTTCCCTCCTCTCCTCCTCTCTCCTCTCCTCCTCTCCTCCTCTCCTCCTCTCCTCCTCTCGCCTCTCCTCCTGTCCTCCTCTCCGCCTCTCTCCTCTCCTCTGTCCTCCTGTCCTCCTATCCGCTCTCCTCCTCTTCTCTCCTCCTCTCCTCCTCCTCCTCTCCTCCTCTCCTCCGTCTCCTCCTCCCTCCTCCTTTCCTCCCTCCTCCTCCTCCTTTCCTCCTCCTCCCTCCTCCTCACATCCCTCTTCCTCCTCCTTCCTCCTTCCTCCCTCCTCCCTCCTCCCTCCTCCCTCCAACCGCCGTCCCGGTTTCAGGCTTTGGGTGCAGCGCCATGGTACCCAGTACAACGCGCTGCGAGCCTCCTCGGGACACGGCAGTCCGACGTGCCAGCCCGCGCTGTTGCGTGCCATAGGCGTGCGGGCCAGCCGTGCCGCTGACGCGGAGTGCGCCGCCCCGTGAGGGCGCTCACGGCGTGCGAGCCAGCCTGGTACGGGCGAGCTCGCGAGCGGCGCACGCAGTCGCGCACCCTGCTGCGGATGGTCGCCGCCGCGGCGAGGGTGCGCGAGCAGCATCGTCGTCATCGGCGGTGGTCGCGGCGGCGTC